CACACAGGGGGGGGGGCGGGGGKGGCGACTGTGCGAGCACGACAGGGATCTGCGCGCGGTTCTCGATCATCCACTTGGCATGCAGTGGCTGTCTCTTACGCTGAGTAGGGGTGGCGCTCAACAACGGGAGGACGTCATCGATCCGTGTTCAGGTTCTCGTCACTGAATATGTGGCTCTGTCGACTACGTGGCAACACAAGGGCAACTAGTGTCGTCTCAATCCCGCGCACATATCTGCGCGGGGGTGGTTTACATCGAAAGGGACAAGCAATGAAGTCATGAAAGGAATGAACGAGCGAGAATGAACACAGAACAAGAAAACGAATCACAGAAAAGGAATGAATGAGCGAGAGTGAACAACATGCAGGGATGGACGCCGCGGACTCAAATCCCTTCACGTCGACAGGGGTACCCGCCACCCGCTATACGTGGCACGATGCAACGCGTCTCATGGTCACACAAGCATGCACCTCAACCCCAACGTCAGCAGTTGTAGTCGATGGAGGACACGTGGCCAGACAGAACAGCACTGTACCTTGAATGGCGTGGTCGGCCATGTCACGAGGGCGAAGCGCAGACGACAGCGGACACGCGATGACGCGGAACGCAAGAGGGGATGTTGAAGGTCATTCGACTGACGCGATGGCGGGGGGAAATCAAGACGCCCGCTCTCGGAGACACGAGGCGCGACAACGGATTTTGCTCAGGCGATGGAGGAAGTCGCTTACATGACGTCGCGCGGACCAGCTCGTCGGGCAGGAGACGCAAATGGGCAGCACCAGACCCCACTCAGATACTCATTTGTCGTCGCACCCCACGCCAGGTTCGAAAATGCACGTCGGACGCCCGCGCAGGACGTGACACCATGTTAGAAGACACACTATGGTCGTCCGATCCGCAAATCGAACAGCCAGAATGCGACTTCGCAATGCGCACTGCGGAAAACCGGGCCCAACCGCCTCCGCCCCCCCCCCCCCCCCCCCCCCCCCCCCCCCCCCCCCCCCGCGCAGCCCGAAAACCCCTTTGGTGGGGCCCGCGAACGCGAACACAAGAATGCAAGGGGCCAGGGACGACGGCCCTTTTCCATGACCCCCGGGAAGGCCCTGTTCGAAGGGACTTTTTTTGCCATGTCGCGCGCACCGGGTCCCCCCTAGCGGGAAATTTGACGTGTGGCCACCGTTCGATGTGCGGACCGACGTGTGGCCAACCTTTCGCGGCGTCAAACGGACCCTGCGAGGCACTCCGAAATGGAAGACCCGAAGGGGACCCGACCCACGCGCGCCTACAAATACGAGCGGCGCCCGGGGCGTGAGCGCCGCTTTCTGCGTTTTTTGCTGGGGAGATGCTGCCGGACGGACGCCTCGCACCACCACTGTCGTCAACACCATCGCCCCGCACAGTTGGAGCACCATAGGTAGCGAAGCGAACGGATAGTCGTTCTAAACCCCGGTCACTACCTTTTCTACGACGCATCTCCCTCCACCTCCCTAGTCGCTGCCCGCGTCATCTTCGACGTCGCGCGTCGACATCCCGTCGACTCAACGACGACATCTCGATTCTGGATTAGCGCATCCGACGCTCCACGCATTACCATCACCAACACAAAGCGCACGGCACAAGGTCGAAGCATTCCTGTCTCGATCGACGTCCAGATCCGCACGCATCTCCACTCGACACTCTCACAAGGTGAGTGCGCACGAACCCGGGACGTGTGTGTTTCTGTGAGCGCTTGTGGGCGGCTTTTCTGCTGACACGTCTGCGCTGTTTGGACGAGTGTGTGTTTGCAGGTGCGCGTGCGGTTGTGTTTGTGTTTGCTTGTGCGTGACGAGTGTGTGTTTGCATGTGTGCGTGCGGTTGTGTTTGTGTTTGCTTGTGCGTGACGAGTGTATGTTTGCATGTGCGCATGCGGCTGATTGTGTGTTAAAGCATTTTTTTTTTTGGGTTTGCGTATGTAGTGTCTCTATGTCAGGGGCGTGTTTGTGTACGCGGCGTGTGTGCGATTGTGTGTGCGTGTGTGTGTGCATGTGTCTGTTCATGTGCGTGTGTGTTGTTTTGTCGATTGAACACGCGTAGATTGTCGCCAAGGTGTGCGGCGATGGTTGAATGAATTGTTTCGCATCCCGAGGGTAATCCTGATGTATTCTGGCATTGAGCGACGTGCGTGCGTAATAGCCGGCGATTGCGTACGCTGTAATGAAGAACTGTAATCTGTTGTCCATCTATCCATCTATTGTATCTCTGTCGCCTCGTGTTTCGATCAATCATACTTTGGGCAGATCGAGGGCTACGACATTCAAACATCAAACAGGAACAATGGAGTGTGGTCAGCGGTCAGGATGTGATGAACTGATGAATGCCGATAGCTCCGATCGAACGCGCTGTGGCCAGTCACGAAACATAAACACTCCGCGCTCGATCGGATGTTTCTCCATTCATCATTTTCATACACAACAAGAGCACACGAGATCCACACGTTTGTGTGTGGATCTCATGTGATCTTGTTGTGTATGAAACTAATGAATGGAGAAACATCCGATCGAGCGCGGGGTGATTATGTTTCGTGACCGGCCACAGCCCGTTCGATCGGAGCTATCGGCATTCGTCAGTTCATCACATCCTGACCACTGACCACACTCCATTGTTCCTGTTTGCTGTCCCAACGCAGTAGCCATCGATCTTCCCAAAGGATGATTAATCGAAACACGCGGCGACAAAGATACAATAGATGGGTAGATAGACAACATTCATTGATTTGATAGTATTCATTATTGATTATAGACAGTCCAGAGAACAAGATAGATAATATTCCTTGATTATATGCAGTCCTGATCGACGGAGCACGATCAGATCACTCTCGACATTGTCACCGCGTGTTTCGATCGGTCGTTCATTGGGCAGATCTCATGAGCTGAGTAACTGATGCATGATGAAAGCTTCGATCGAGCGCGAGGCGACCGATCACGAAACATAATAACCGCGCGGCAGATCGGATCTTTCTCCACTCATCAGATCAATCATCCACACGTGAGTGGTGACATCGGCGATACCGCACGTGAGTGATAAACAGGACCATCACGATTGATCACGATACCGCCGCTGATCTGCCGAATGGATGATCAATCAAAGCAGGAGGTGACATTGTCGAGACAGTAGACGCACCCAGTCGACCAATCGCCGAACACGAATAGAGAGCTTGCGATCGGTCGATTGATCGCGTGTGCTGTCTCAATGTTGTCACAGCATGTGTGTTTTTTGGCAGTATCAAATGTAATAACAAAACACACGTGGCACCATGCGCGAACGACCAACCGGGCGGCGAGCGACCGATCCATCACACTCGTTGATGTACCCCGAGCGAACAGTAGACTGGTCAATAGATCCATCACTACCAACATCACTGAACGACTGTTCGGACTTCGGTCGGACGACCGGTTGATCCAGCAGTCCACCAACCATACAACCGAACGTGTATTTGCGGTGCAACCGTGGCATCACCCTCTGTGCGATCGCCCAACCGGCAGGCGTACGACTGATCCAACAAACGTACGACCGATCCAGCACGAGTAACTGATTAGTTGATTGATCAACTTTTCGGTTCGTGGTTGTCCAATTAGCTGATTGATCGGCCGCTCGCCGACCAGGGCACCGACATGCCAGCCGAGCGGTTCACTTTTCTCGCCCCGATTGCACTGCATTCGACCTGCCTCCTCGTCCATTGGTCGCACACAGCATGCAAGGCGATTGGTCCACCAGACGGTAGAAACCCATGAAAAAGGTCGATCCCTGTTCGGGAATGGACAAAAGACAGTACGTGACAACGTTGTTGCACATCAAACGTTGCTGGCCATCGAACCTTGTTTGGCATCGAACCTGGCGCCCCATCAAACCTCGGCGGGCATCGAAATGTTGGCGGACATCGAACGCCACTGGAAGGCAAACCTCGTCGGTCATCGAAACTTGTTGGTCATCCAACGACGAACGTTTTGCAGCCACCACACGACAGCGGGGCACCTATGAAAATATGAAGTCCGCCGGGATCCGAACTTCAAGAAAGCATGGGAAGGCGAGTTTGATAGACATCTGTGTCTCTCCCACGTAATCTCGCCAAGCTCGGATCCTGGTGGACCTCCGGTTCACACCTTCCGCAAGACCTAGCACGCGGTGCAACCCCATCGGGCAACCACAGCGGTGGACCTGTGAAAATGTGAAGTCTGCTGCAATCCGAACTTCAAGAAAGAAGGGAAAGGCGAGTTTGATAGACAGCTGTTTCTCTCCCACCGCATTTCGCCAAGTACGGATCCCGACGAACTTCAGGTTCTTGCCTTTCGTAAAACCCAACTCGAGTTGCCACCCCAGTGCACAACCACAGCAGTGGACCTGTGAAAATGTGAAGTCCGCTGGAATCCGAACTTCAAGAAAGAATGGAAAGGCGAGTTTGACAGACAACTGTTTCTCTCCCACGACATTTCGCCAAGTACAGATCCCGACGAACTTCAGGTTCTTGCCTTTCGTAAAACCCAACTCGAGTTGCAACCCCAGTGCACAACAATAGCAGTGGACCTGTGAAAATGTGAAGTACGCCAGGATCCGAACTTCAAGAAAGAATGGAAAGGCAAGTTTGACAGACAACTATTTCTCTCCCACGGCATTTCGCCAAGTACGGATCCCAGCGCACTTCAGGTTCTTGCCTTTCGTAAAACCCAACTCCAGTTGCAACCCCAGTGCACAACCACAACAGTGGACCTGTGAAAATGTGAAGTCCGCCGGGATCCGAACTTCAAGAAAGAATGGAAATGCGAGTTTGATAGACAACTGTGTCTCTCCCACGGCATTTCGCCAAGTTCGGATCCCAGCGAACTTCAGGTTCTTGCCTTTCGTAAAACCCAACTTGCGTTCCAACCCCAGTGCACAACCACAGCGAGGGACCTATGTCGTTTGATTGCTCGCCAACTATGTTTACGAGTGTCAGCGTCCCCGTGTGTGTCGTTTGGTATGTGCGCGTGGTGTGTAGGGCACGTAATGGATGGGACCTTCTCGACACCACGAATCTTTGAGTCGATCTTCTCGACACCACAAACCATGAGTCCCGAAACGCACATTTGCTTGGCAGAACCGTTTCCTCCTTGCGCGAGATCAGTGCGGCATTTCAACGGTGTGACTACGATCCACGAAGCGACCACAGAGGACTTCGACGAGGACCCCTGGATGACCGTTGTCCCATGCAGGGACGCGGATATTGACGATTGGTGTGATGGGAATTGGGCCACGATGGAGAGTCGCTGCCCTTGGGCAAGCCAGTACAAATTCGCCAACATGTTGGAGTTCGGGAACCTCATCCCGCTGCCTAATGCTGTCCTCGGACACAAGTTCCTGAACCACATGCGCAGAGCACTGGGCTGCATTAGCCGCAATTTCAGCCACCTCGAATGCCACTATGTCAGGTCAGGTCGTCGCCACGAACTTGGGGAGGCTCGTGGAAACAAGAGTTGTTGGACTGCGCTCGTCACTGCTCGTTCTTGGACCAGTACCCGCTCCGGTGCCCCGGGAATTCTCCACAAGTTGTGTCATACTGTTGTGTGCGATTGAAAGTGTCTGGGTCTGATTTCGCCAGAGTTCTATGTGTCGCTGTGTCGAACAAGAGCAGGAAACTCGTCGATGCAGTTGTGCTTGTATCACACAACGAGGTGGTAATTGAGGGGTCCAAATTCGTGCCGACGCGCGGGCCTGAACGTGTAGATGGGTGGCGAGATTTGGTTATAGCAGGGCCGGTCCAAAACTTTTCGTTGCATAGGGAGGTCGAGGAGAAAGTGTCCGCCATACGGGGCTGTATAGGGAACTCCTTAGCATGACCGGGAGTGTTTGTTAGGATGAAATACATGTCCGTCTTTTCAGAAACTGCAACGGTCGACGATCCGCTGGTCCGCGTTTACGGATCATCAATGAATGCTTCGTATGGCTACGGTTCGCGACCTCGTCCCCGGGTAACCGCGATTGTCACAAAATTTGGATGTGTGGTTGGACATCCTGCTTAAGCGAAAAGAAGGGAGACGAGTGAGAGGCTTGTGTACTGCCGAACATAGCAGAGTTTTAGTAGTGGAGAAAGGCGCGGGAGGCAGCAGTTGCTAGTGCATGCGTCTCTTTCGGTGTCGCGCCCTCTTGAAGTTCGGATCCCGACAAACTTCGCGGTTTGGCCTGTGCGTCCTACCGGCCTCCGAGCTTCGAGTGCTGAGCGGAGTCGGAAACGGTCCTGCTACCAATTATGCCTGGACTCAATGACTGCTGCCATCAAAACCTGCGGTCGGCTGTGGAACCTCGGGGTTTTTCCTGGTGCGCCTTGGTCGAACACCGTCTTGCGTTTGGACTCGAAGTTGCTCCAATGTTTTTCTCTGTCTCTCTTTCTCGCGTCCTCCTGAAGTTCGGGTCTTGGCGAACTTCAGGAGTCGCCTGTCTATTGCCACAGACGGTGGTCTTCCGGATCCCTCGTGGATTCCGGCAACAGCCAGAGTCCAAGGACCTATGAAATGTTGACACGGCTGTCGCTTTCGAGCTTGGGTTCATCCAGTGCCAAGTTGTGCATAACGCGAGATCGGAAATCAGAAGTAGTTCGGTTTAGTTTCAACCAGCCTTTCATTCCGATGTGGTCTTCCTGGGTCGGGGTTGAGTTTAACAACCTTAGACTTAAGGATCGTGTGTCCCTGACGCCGTTTCTGCCTGTCGCATCGTCCTGAAGTTCGGATCCCGGCGAACTTCACGTTTCGGGAGGTGCGTTGCATTGTCGTGAGTCTTCGTGGTTCCGGGTGGGTTGCATAACCCGCCCAACAACGGTTCCGGAGTGCGTTTGGTCGAGCACGGTTTTGGGACGCTGGCTCTATCTCACCCGGAGAGCTTCGAACATGACCGCCAGTTGATTCCTGCGAAAAATTCCCGAAATCTGCTTCCACCGTCTCTATCTCACGCACCGTCCTTTAGTTCGGATCCCGGCGGACTTCGCGATTTTCACTGTGCGTTTGTCTATCTTTGTTCTACGGGGTGCCCTGTGTGTTGCATAAACAGCGCGTGATCCCATGCGCACTGCGAGTTTTCACTTGCTTCTCTCTCTCTGTCTGCCTCTCGGTCTCTTGCTCACTTGAAGTTCGGATCCCGGCGGACTACCCCTTCTCACCGTTCCGGATTTGGGTGCCCGGGTGTCTTCGTGTGCGGTTTTCGCTGCGCTACAGCCTGCATTGACGTGCAGCAGCAAGTGTTCTATTTCTCCTGTGTTTTGACAGACGTTGACTTCATGGTGTGCTGTTCGATTTGCGTTGTCGTTCGCAGACAGTACGTCTTCTTCCAAGGGCGAGGTGGAGCCAACAGGGACCTCCGTGAAGGAATCACGAAAAGATTCCACAAGGCGGTCGTCTACTGCCACGCAGGGGTGGTCGAACCATTCGAGGTCGAAATGGTTCATCGACTGGTGCTGTGGAGATGCTTCCAACCCCACTGGGCAGCCATGTGGTCCAGTCATCTTCATCGATGACAGCAGAAGGCGTAGAGTGCTTGGTGCCGTCTTGCGGTGGGAGGACGCAAAGGGGGGCCGGCGACATTTCTATATGCAGAAAGTTTATGGCGCCAAGGGCAACGTCGTTGCCAATTCGAAAAGGACATTGTTGGACCTTGAATTGTGTGAGGGGTTCGGAGCGGGTGCTGTGAACACCCTGTTCTACAGAGAACTCGTTCTCGGGGGCAGTTTTGTTTTGGCATGTGAATTTTTCGACATGTTGGAGGACAAAAACATCGCTCTAGACGTCCCCTGCGACGTCAACCCATCCCTGGAGCTGTCGTTGTCGTTGAAGCTATGCAGTGGTTGCCAGTCAAGCGGGGCAGCGGCGGAGGGCGGTGATCTGGGTTCTGGTCCCGCCACTCAGCTGCACCGTGGCGAGAGCCGAGGTCAGTTCGACGACAGCGAGGATGAGGGGACTGCTCTGTCGTTGAGTGACATGCGGCGGTCTGTGTTGTCTATTCCTGGGGTTCAGACTGATGCTCCGGTTCAGCGGAAGAGTACGGGGCCTGCAGTACAGGTGGCGGCCTATTCGGAGGTCGACTTGGAGGCGAGCGAGGGACAGGGTGTGGAGGAGGTGGACGAGGGAGGCCTAGGCTCGCAAGGAGCTCCGCAAAAGAGGAGGGGGGATCGTCGAGACGAGTTTGCCGGTTCTACGAAGAAGTTAAAGAGCAAGGCCCCCAGGACTGCGGGGGAGAAACGCAAGGGGACCGAGGGGGAGCAGGGCCGGCAGGTTGCCAAACGACCGTCTTCGAGACAGAAGCAGCCTGAGTCTGGACCGTCTTCTCCACCGACAACAGGGACTCCCATCGACGTCGACGCCGGGTACTTCCTCGAGTACAAAGACGGCGTTCGGACAAAGCGGGAGTTCGACATTAGCCCTGCGCAGGTCGTCGACCTCGGGGACTGGGAGGACCTGTACAACTAGTGGTCCCTGGATCCCGTGCTCGTGGAAGGGATCAAAGAAGCGATGCGGTTGGCGTTCGAAAACAAAGCCCAATCTTACGATTTACCAACCCTGAAGCTGGCGTGCTGGGGCTTGATAAACCGACTCCGGGGACCAAGGCAGAACATCTGAGGCCGGAGGATTGGAGGGATGAGCTGGCGGGACAATACTACTACAACGCGGTGTGTGGGCAGCACAATGCGGCTGCAGCGAGGTCGATGCTCGGCAGCGAGGTGGCCAGGAAATACGATTTCGAGCGGTGGCCTGGACGAATGGTCAACTTTTCGGACGACGACTTCGAAGGGTACTTCCTTGTCAGTTCCCAGGACAACAAGAAGGACCTGAAGGCGCCCCCACGACAGCTGAAGCTGTCAATGAGGGACATAAGGTGGCAGTGGAAGCGCGCCGGTTGCCCGCGTGCTGTTATGGGGAACCCCATCGGAAAACAGGATCAGGTCCGGAAGTGGCGTGAATTCTGTAATGTCGCACTCAACATGACACCGCACAACAACTTGTGGATTCTCGCAGATCAGCAGGGCGATGAGGCCATCAGGAAACAAGGCGCTGCCCTGCGCTCCTATTTCCCACTGGCGATGGCAGGGGAGAACGTCTGGAAACTGGCCGTCAAGTTTTTCGAGAAATGGGAGACAGGCATATTGCTCGAACACGACGGCGCAAAGTGGATCATGCGGAAGAAGAAAGTCAAAAATGTGAAGCCTGGGGTTGCATACATCCATAATGACAAGCTGGGCAGGAAGGAGGTCGTGTACAACGTCCCTATGGACCCGCTGACAAAGAAAGGCAAAAAGGAGAAAGAGGAGGGCGAGTGGTTCGTGCAAGTGCCAGAGCCGGACGCGCATTGTTGGAAAACGATGGAGTCGCTGACAGACAACGAGAAGTGCCACGTCCTGAAAAAGGTGCTCGCTTGCGAGGTGTTTTGGGTACAGGCCGGCTCCCCAGCGTTGGCGAAGCTCGGAAAGTTGAGCGTCCAGGAGGTGGTGAATCTGGTGAAGTGCAACCGGGTGCTGGTGCGTCTGTGGAACTACTACTAGTTCAAGCACGACAAAAGGCTGGACGTGGATTGGAGCCAGAGGTTCGCGTTCCTGAAATCAAGGTCCGGAATGAGAGTCGTGGTTTGGATGCTGAGTTGTGGGATGGGAGCACGAAATACGTCACTGACTCCTCGCTGTTCAAGGACTGCCCGCCCTACATGGGCTGCGACGACGACAGATCGATCGAGGCGACGGAGAAGCTGGCCGGTCACAAGAAGTTGTCCGTCGACTGGAGGAATAAGGTCCTGTCCGTGTTGACTGGCAGTAGACTGAAGAGTCGAGAGATCGCGCTCGCCGAAGGCATTGTGCACATAAAATGGAATGACACGGGCAACGTGACATCCATCGCGCCATTCGGCAACGACCCCTTGGAGGCAGACATAAGGAGTGCGGAGGTGAAGGAGGCAGTGGTTGCCACAAAGAGTCACACCTTCGTCCTCGATCTGTACGAACTGGTGGACCTGAAGCTTTTGAAACCGCAAGCGTTCGACACTCTGGATTCCCAACTCCAGACGTGGTGTCCGTCGCATTGGATGCTCGTTGTTTTTATTCTGCGGCAGCAAAACCTCTACTTTCTGGCCTGCATGAACCATCTTTCTTTCGTCAAGCTGCTGGAAGGGAAGTGGGTGAGGAGTCAACAGAAGAAAAGCTTCCCCGTCGGGAACAATTTGTACACGGAAGACGACCGGATGTACATACTCTTCAAAGGCGACGATTTGCGGGTCAACACGTCCATTGTCTACGAGGGGAAACTGCCGGCAGGCACCGCTGCTGCAGTGCGGGTACCACAGAAGGTTACGCAAACGGATGTGTCCGACATCCCATTCAACGCTTGCGACTGGTTGCATTCCTCGCCTGCACGTCGGGGCATTGTGTACGGGGACATGAAATGCAACCCTGCCCAATTCGTTCAGCTTCTCGAATCCGTCACCAAGAAGGGGGAGGGTGTCGTCTTCCTCGGGAAGCCACACGCGCGGTCAGTCTGGGAAGTACTGAAGGCAGGACGACACGTCATCGCGAAGAAAGGGAACTCCGAGCTCTTGCAATTTACAATTGATCTCGTCAAAAGCGAGGTCAATTCGGGTGCCCACAATTGCGAGTTCATGGTCGTCACCGGGACTCGGGCTCGCGCGTGGAACAACAAGACGGACATGTGGTTCAAGTTGAGTGCGAGGAAGCGGAACAAGATATACGACTTCTTGTTCTTGTAAACGTGGCCGAAGAGAGACACCGACGCCGAGTACGTGCACCGCAAGGACCACATGTTCACGTTGCTCGACAACTACCACGACGCCTCCCGCATGAACACGAAGACCTTCCTCGAGAGGTTGCAGTCCCTTTGCTTCGTGGAGTCAGAGGAGGAGCTGACGTTTGACAGTTACTCCTCCTTGATCTCCACGGAAGACGAGGAAACCACCGACATCGAGTTCGACGCGACCGCGGACGAGGAGGGCAGCGACACCGAAAGCCTCGACCTGCAGTACGACCAACATTCCGCGCAGCACGCTACAGGGTTGTCCTTGGCAGGTCCGTCAACAAGCCCAGCGTCCCTTGTGTCACCGATAGCGAAACCAGCGCCTAGCACTACCCCGATGAAGTTGCTGCAGAGAATGCAAGCTCTGGCCTCCGGCCATCGCTCACTGCGTCCCGGGTCTGACATCCCGCCCGATCATCTGTCTTGGACGAATGCCAACATTCACTTCCTGCCTGAGCCTCAAAGTCGTTCCACGGAGGCGGATTGGGGCCATGACATGATTAAGCATCCAGGAGTCATCCAGCCGGCGATCCAAAAGGGTGAGTGGATCGTGGTGGTCGCTGTCCCGGACGGAGGATGGATGCCACTCCCTCGCGGGTCGAAGTCTGACTTCCTCGACATCGCTAGAATTGCGGTCCTCCAGCAAGTGAGGGCCGAGAATGGCTCTTTCGCACGCGAAGACGTGTCCGTCATTTCCACAGCCGGGCGATTGTTCGCCGAACTTCAGGACAAGTGCTGGTTGGAGCTGACGGAGGACTACTACGACCTCGACACGAGCCCCTCCAAAGGAAGGGTGAACTGGAAAATCCCCCCTCCCTGTGGGATGCATGTAAGTACAGGGTCCTGGGGACCGGACGGTGGGGAGAACAAGGGCGACAAGGCTGGGGGCGGCAAACAAGTCCCGGGGCGACAACACGAGGGCGACGAGGATGAGGGCGGGTCTCAGGGCGACACCACGACAACGGAAGGCAGCGGCGGGGTAACGGGGGAGGCCCTCGGGCGTCAGCAGTCTACCGGTCCCGGTCCGGAATGCTCGGCACAGTCGAAGGACGTGCCCAGTTGATCCGCCTGCTCGGTGATGGCGGCCTTGGTTGCTCTCCGTGCCGGCTCGGTCGAAACGTTCAAGTCCGCCGGGATCCGAACTTCAATGCTTACAGAGCGGACAGAGAGGACGGACACGTAGAGCTGGTCAGGACCGGGGGTGGCGAGTCGTCATCCCAAAATAGACAGCGGTGCGGTGAGGGATGGGACTTCGCCGCCTGTGGGGGATCGCCAACCGCTTTAGTCGAAGCGAGAGGGTGCGGAAGGAGGGCCCGGCGACAGGGAGACGGTGAAGTTCGCCGGGATACGAACTTCTCCAGGCAAGGCGTGTGGAGGGCCCGGCGACAGGGAGACGGCGAAGTTCGCCGGGATCCGAACTTCTTCAGGCAAGGCGTGTGGAGGGCCCAGCGACAGGGAGTCGGCGAAGTTCGTCGGGATCCGAACATCTTCAGGCAAGGGGGGCCAACCAGGGATATTGGTGTTGGCGAGAGGGGCTGCGTGCGGCGGGCGGGAAGCGCATTCATCGGAAATCGACACGGGTTCGGGCGAAGTGGCTGCATTGCATGCAGGGGAAGAAGGCAGGGTGATGGACAAAGAGAAGGAAGTGGAGGAAGGAGACACAGGGGAGGAATTGGAGGAAGGAGGGGATGAAGGGGAGGAAGAAGAGGATGAAGGAGAGGAAGGGGAAGAAACGAAGTTGGCTGGGTTGCTAGGAGGGCAGGAGGGGGAAAAAGGTGAACTCGATACAGGAGACGACGAACAGACTTTCAGCGACGACGATGACAGATCTGGGGAGTCTTCTGACGGATTCGGGCAGCTGTATGGAGAACACCGCGAGGAAGACAACGACGACGATGACACGGCACTGGGTATGGAGACAGAGGTGGTCACAAGCCTTTCGGCAGAACGTGATGACTATGAGGTCCAAGCAATGATGTCTGCCGTCGATCTCCAACACCGGTTCAACGAAGCTCGTGTAACAGTCAGTCTGACTAAACCGAGTGTGTGTATTGACATCGAAGAAGTTATCGACGGCATCCTGGGCGACCACCACATGTCCGCGCAGCCGTCCTTGATGCCTGGTGTCGACGACCCTCTCGACGTCAAACCTTCCGGGGGATCTGTCGTCGATTTCTCCCCGACGAGCTCTCCGATGCTGCCGCCGACCATCGCCAGCGGAGGAGAAGGCGGGATCGGGGGACAACAAGATGTCACATCCCCTAAAAAACTGTCGCCGACACTCGAGCTCTCGACGTGCTGGCCTTGCCCGTACCAACTTCGCCGATTATGGAGTGGAGAGACAAACCAGCTGGTAAGCTGTGACAAACGCCACTCTGTCTGCGCGCTAGTGACCGCAGTGTCTGTCAATGCGGACGAGACAAAAACATGTGTGTTTTTGTTGAAGCGTTCCCTCACACGAGTGGTGGTTTTAGTCCGCCGGGATCCGCACTGCCAAGGCCGCTGCGTAACGCGGTTACTCTTTTGGTGTCTCGATTGGGAAAAGGCCGCCGGGATCCTGACTTCACAAATGTTTGGCCTCCGGGTTTGTGGCTTGTTGAGGTTTTCCCTTCTGGAGGGCGGGGTGTCGATGTCGAACGCACTGCTCCTTTTGTTTTCCAGTGGGGCCTGCGCGGAAGTATTCTATATCTCTCTCATGGCTAAACGGGGCTCTGTAAATAGATAGGTCCTGCGTCTTCTACATTTCGTGGTTCTTGAGTTGTCGTTTTCGTCGGGTTCGTCTTGGATTACGTGAGTTCATTTTTCGTTTTCTCTTCCTTCGGTGGCACAGGGGTTGGGTCATCTCCCTGGGTTGGAAAAGTCCGCCGGGATCCGGACTTCATAGATGTTTGCCTTCCCCTTCTGTGACTTGATGTGCTTTTCCCTTCTGAAGGGCGGGGGTGTCGAGCTCGAGTGCACTGCTCGTTTTATTTTGCAACGTGGCTGGTGCGGAAGTTCTCTCTCTCGCACTCTCATGGCATGACGGGGTTCTGTAATTGCATGGGTCTTGTGTCTTTTAGATTTCGTGGTCCTTTAATTGTCGTTTCGTCGGGTTCTTCTTCGGAAACGTGTATTCACTTTCCGTTTTGTCTTTCTTCTGTTGTAGAGGGGTAGGGTCGTCTCGAACACGGAGACCCTCTAAATATCCGGAACACATATTGCATACAGTCCCGGGGTTGACGACAAAACACAAGGACATGTTAAGGGCATCAAGGGTTGATGTCGAAATCGGGAAGAAGGAGCATGCCATTGCCATTGAGGAGTGTCTTTCCCTTCTGCCCCCAGAGAAAAGGACATATCCACGATCTGTGACTAGGGGTCAGGCCATGTATGAGAAATACTTAGCTACTCGCCGTGTGATGAAGGAGAATCCTTAGTGTTCCGTTTCTCACTTCCCCCCCCTGTCCTTTGCTCGATGTTGTGCAGTGCAGGCCACGGCACCTGGAACAGCAGTGACTGCGATTGGAAGCTTGCGGGTTTTAGACGACATTGAACGAGGCTTGGTGCCACCTGACACTGTACTCTCAACCCTCCACGATGGCCAGTTGCGAATTGCAGCGAAGGATATTCTCACCCTCTCACTTACCGACGGCAGGGTGAATGATGAGGTGGTCAACTTCTACATGGCGCTATTAGGAACGACCGCATATGGGACAAGTGACATCCCGCCAGGCCTTCGAGTCTTCACCTTTAATTCTTTCTTCTTCAGTAAACTGCAACTTCAAGGGCACGGCGGGGTGGAAAGATGGGTTAAAAACGTGGATCTGCTTGAATATGATATTATCTTTGTTTCAGTCCTCAAAGATAATGATCACTGGATCCTCCTTTCCGTGAGTTTGAGAGATAATGTTCTTGAGATTTTCGATTCTTTTCCTTGCGTTGTAGCCGATTCTAGTTTTTACCTTAGTGTTTTCGAGTTGATCGTACACTATTTGGAATGTCAAACATCACATAGGCGCTCGTGCAGGTGCTGGAAGTCGGTGGCAGCAAATGTTGTTATAGAGGGAGTTCCTAGACAAGTGGATGGAGTTCGTTGCGGGGTGTTTATGTTGATGTTTGCAACACTGTTGCAACGTGGCGATCGACCGCCTTTCAGGTTCTCTTGTTAAAATATTCCGTATATTAGACGACAACTAGCATCATGTGTCTTGGAATGTCGTTGTCTTTGATGGATTCGATTGATTTGCAAACTTCTGTTTCAGAATATTTCATATTTTAACTGTCGCTTTCACAACGACATTATTTTTTTTCAGTGTTGCGGGTTTGAGTTGTCTTTGGTATGTTGACTGTCAGTTTGGTGTCACGTATTGCCTTCAGAATCTCTGTCAGGTCCGGCTCGTTTGTCGTGTCATTACATTCATTGCATTGCAGTCCTCGTTGCAAATTGTGTCCAGGTCATCCAAGATTGTGCATATAATTCACCTCGAAATGATATTCGTGTGTGTGGTGCGACATGACGAATTGGAGTGTGGATGCACGACAAATCTCGGCGAGTGTGTGGGTGTGAGGTTCGTTATGCAAAGAGTGAAAGACCAGTGACATCACGTCTCTTGTGTGCATAGACAATCATGTACTTGTGACCGCTTGAATTACATGTGACCGACAATTTTGCGTTCTTGACCGGGAAAAATAAATTGTATGTCAAAAATAACAGTTACTGTTTGTACTTCTAAAGAAGTCTGAATCTCTACAACATCCAGACAACCGCCTCGGACGAGACGATAGCCATGCATATACAACTCACGCATAAAAGAAATAAATAGTATTATCCAACAAGGATTCAATCATGACAACTTGCTCATCACATTCACAAACTTGAAGTTTGACAAGTGTGGCTCCCGATACACTATCGCACAGGCATCCCGGATGGGCGTGCCTGTCGCTACTCTACGTCTTCTAATATAATTATCCAACGAGGATGCAATCATGACACATTGCTCGTCACAATTATGGAATTGAAGTTTAACAAGTACGGATCCCAGCACACTTCCGCACTGGGTTCCCTGATGCGCGTGCCTGTCGTTATTCGTTTATGAAGTTTAACAAGTGCGGATCCCGACACACTTCGGCACAAGATTCACGACACATTTCTGAAGTTCAACAAGTGAGGCTCCCAGCACACTTCCGCACAGGGTTCCCTGATGGGCGTGTCTGTCGTTATTCGTTTATGAAGTTTAACAAGTACGGATCCCAGCACACTTCCGCACAGGATTCCCAGCAGTGCCATGTTTTTGAAGTTCAACAAGTAAGGATCCCAGCACACTTCCACACAAGGTTCCCGTGCGGCGTGCCTAACATGTACGGGTTTGAACACGCTTCCTCATTTGGGATATCATTTATAAAGTTCCACAAGTACGGATCTCGGCACACTTCTGCATGTGCTTAAGTCGTGGATGGGCGTGCCTACGTTGCTTGGAATGCAGCCAAAAATGAATTCGTTAGAAAGAGGACATATTATAATGTCCTATTTTAACGAATAACATGTTAAAAGCTCTTTTTTTTTCCGGGGGTGTGGGGGAATCCCCCTAACACGGCTCAGACGGCCCATGCAGGCTATCTGAAGGGTCCTCGCAGCCATGCAGCGCAGACCCCTTCACCAAAATCAAGGCAAGCAGTGAATACGGAGTAGAACACGAGCTGGTCGAATATATATCCAAGATTCGAATTCAGGTCTGTGTTTCAGCAGTTATGGGTTGCTCACGTAGCACGTGATTCTCAGGGCGTGGCTGCACTACTCACCAAATGTGCAAAACTAGAATGAACCTTCTGCAGAACATGGAATAATACGCTGCCATATGTTTTGTCTTTTGTGCATGTGGTCAGTAGAGGCCCTTAGGGCCACTCCACGTATTCTTAAGAAAAGAAAAACGAGAAAAAAAAAAAAATGAGAAAAAAAAAAATTGAGAAAAAAAAAAACAAGAAAAAAAAAAAACGAGAATTTTTTCTCGTTTTTCTTTTCTCATGAATACGTGCAGTGGCCCTAAGGGCCTCTACTCACCACATGCACAAAAGACAAAACATATGGCGGCATATTATTGCATGTTCTGCAGAAGGTTCATTCTAGTTTTGCACATTTGGTGAGTAGTGCAGCCAAGCCCTGAGAATCACGTGTTACGTGAGCAACCCATAACTGCTAAAACACAGACCTGAATTCGAATCTTACGTATATATTCGTCCAGCTCGTGCTCTACTCCATATTCACTGCCTGCCTTGATTTTGGTGGGGGGGTCTGCGCTGCATGGCTGCGAGGACCCTTCAGATAGCCTGCATAGGCCGTCTGAGTCGTGTTAGGGGGATTCCCCCACACCCCCGAAAAAAAAAACCGACTCTTCACATACACACACAAACACACATTCACACACACAGACACAAATTCACACACACACTTTTTTTTTTTTTTTTTTTTTGCCCGTTTCGCCTGGGGCATTGGCCCACAACCTCCCCCAAGCACCGCCACCACTCCCCACACTGCCCACAACCCCCCCAAGCACCGCCGCCGCTCCCCAACGCCCCCGACGGGCCTCCCGGGCGTGGGTGGCGCTCTGCGCGTTCGCATTTAGAGCGTGCACACGCGTTCTTTGAACGCGCGTTCAACGCGTTCAAAAGCTGAACGCGGAACCCGCGTTCAACGAACGCTCGGCAACACAGACTCACAAACCCTTTGTGGGGGATCTGTGGGATACCCAGGCAGGAAGGTGGAAAACAATAGAGGAACTTCGCCATCAATTGAATCACATTTGAAACATCCCCGAGGAACTGCAACAAATCCAAGAAGCCATCCCTATGGCGTGGCTACAAGCCATGCGTCGAGGCCCACAAATCTGCAAAGGAGACTGGGTGGTTCTTGAGGCCTCGCTCCCCCTCCCTATTGTAGTCTACAAACTCTACACGGTTTTCCGCTGTACAACCTCGCAGGTGGAGCTAGCTGCATACGAACCAACACTACCCAGAGCAAGACTATCCCGACTCACTCGGAACCCCGAGTGGGATGACACATCGACACCCACCCAGCGACAGCCTTATTAAGAATCCGGGTTCTGGGCGAAGAGTCAGATGGGTGGTGGGCCTACGAAATGACGACGCCACTGTGCCTCCTACCGTTCGACCCGGCCGAATGGCAATGGGAGGGACCACACCCACTTCCGTTTTTGGAAATACACAGTCAAAGACTGTTATAGGCAAATACACAAAATCATTGACACCACCGACATTGTTAAAAGAAGATGGGCGATAGACTCCGATCTAGATCAAGCAAGCCTACAGAGCTTCAAATGGTCAACATATGCCTATCTATCTGCAACCTTTCACTGAGCGCTTCAATGGCAAACAATTTATCGATGCCTACCGACGTCGGCCTGGATAGTCTCCAGATCCCATCTGGAACAACAAGGTAAGCTGTCACCAATCTGCTCATTCTGTTGCTCTACAATGCAACCTCAGATAGCGGATTTGGAGCATTGCCTTTTATACTGCCAGTTGGCCAGACAGATCTGGCAATGGTGGAGTGTCGCCTGGTCGTTCCTCACAAACATTGACCTACCATGGGATCCAGGGGCACTACTTCTTGACCAAACACCCAGTGGCCAGAGATTGTGATCCGACTTCCAGATTAACGTCTTCAAACATACGAGGTTGGAAGTCCTGATGACAGCATGGCGAGCCCGCTGCTCGCATGAGCACAAAGAGCACACCTTTGGCTTCCTTCAAGCAATATAGCACATCATTGACACGATACGCTGTAATATCCACAATGCATGGGTTCAGCTTAAACAAAATCTTAGCACAACAGACAACCAGGTGCGACACCAAGAGATGAAAACAACATTCAAATCCATATGGCTAGACCCAGACCGTAAACTGGGAGACCTGGACGACTCTCTCCAGATACGGTGGGAACCTTGGTGGCAGACAGAATGACTGTGGCCAAGAAGACCACTCTCGACCATCCACCATCCGTTGTCTGGCCTCCCCATCACTACAGAAGTCCTGGACAGCCACTCGTCCACCCCACTGCCCTCACCCCTACCAACACCTCTAACACCCCCGCCACCGGCATCGCCAACACATG